CAAAAAAAAAAAAACGAAAGAAAAAAGAAGTTCCAAATCAAATTTATATGATTTGAGGCTCCTAAAAGGCTCCTAAATATTCATATTACATGTTAAAACGATTAAATTTTACTTTCTTATAGTCAGTTAATTAAAATAAAAATTAAAATTTGTTAATAAAGTGAAATCTTNAATTGAGATAAAAAGTAAAAAAATTGTTAATAAAGTGAAATCTAACAATCGAGATGAAAAAGATGTGCTAATGGATAAAAGAAATCTTTCAATTATAATTAGGCTAAATCAAAACAAAAATAAGATACAAATATACTAATACATTGTTCTAATTCTTTTAGGCAGGGCTATAGCCCAATCCAAACCCCAATGTAGTTACGCCCCTGAATGTCGCCACGTTCGACATGTTCGAATGGCGACTTGACGTGAGTCACAAGTGCTTGTGAACCGAAAAGGTTATATAAAAGAGTACTATTTGTTCAAGGTGAAGGGGCTCGACGGGCTTTTCAGGGCACTTGCCTTCGGAGACGAGTGCAAGGTGAGAGTTTATAGGCTCTTGGAGGAGTTGAAGAGGTGGAATTTGGTAGAGAATTTCGGGGACAAGGTGTTGTACCTTAGCTCCTTCTCGTCAACACGACTCGTACAGCAGCCACGACCAACACGATTATGTTGCCCAAATTTTACGGCGCTAGTGCTGTTTTCTACACGTGCGAAAATGCGTGTTGCATTACGAGATTGGATCTTGCCACGTGGGTGATACCTACACCGATCATCCCAACTATGACCTTATTACTACTACTTGGGTTTGAATTTTTTTTTTGTTTGTTATATATATATATATATATATATATATATATAGGTGTTTTGTTTTAATTTTTTAATAATACTTGAAAAAATAGGGCGTCTCGGCCTATCTATTAAAGAAGGAAAGGGCTTTTCTCAAAAAAGTCAGGCTGCACGTAGGCGAACCTTGCTGCGGATGTGTAATAGTTGTTTCACTTTTCCAAAGACGGTGTAGGTTCCTACGAAAAAAGGGGGTTCCTAAGAGCGAATAAATAGTAATAATATTATTATTATTTTCTATTTAAAATGACACCATCACTCATAAGACCGATCCATAAAAGTGTATTCAATTAATTTTTTGTATATGCAGTATGGATATTAAATTAAATATCGTCAAAATATTATTAATTTAATATCATGAAAATGTTGAAGAAAAAAATACAAAAGTTCTTAAATATTAACATATATTTATAATCTAATTAATCTAGTGTTTTATAATTGTAAAAGTTAAAGTAAGAATGAATAAAAATATGTCCCACCAAAAATTGATTGTGAGTAGAAAGGAGGTATATATACATCTTTCAAGGGTCATTTAGGTTTCAGGCAGATTCCAATAGCCAATCTCTTTTTTTTTTTTAATCGAAACATCAAATTTCATTAGCTAAACTCGAAAATGTACAAAGGCATAACCAACTGGTTATAAGATACACACTGGACTGCTACAACACAATCTAGAGTGACCCCGGGAACTGCTCAGACACAGCCCCTAACACGACCAAACCAGGCCAGAAACCTCACAAACGAGGAAAACCAGAGCAACAACCAAAACAAGAAAAAACAAAAAAACCTGAAAATACAAACTGGAAAAGATTGAGCAGGCCAAACCCCTAAACTAAGGGGCTGATAAAACTGTCATAGTACATTTTCTCCTCTTCCATGCTCAGTTCCTCGAGGTAGGCCTTCCCTTTGATCCTCTGTTCCCGTATTTTCCATTTCAGAGATTGCATTAGCACTGAATCCAGTCTCCTGAACCCCTACTCCTTGCCTCTCTGCATCATCCTTCTCCTTGCTCCTGCCCCAATACTCATACTCCATCCACTCTGCATAAGCTTTTTCAACTACCTGCTTCTCAGATGTCCATATCTTTTCAAAAATCCACCCATTCCTCGTCTTCCACAGCCACCACATAATGTATGATGACAGTGAAATCCTATCTTCTCCATTTCTCTCCCTTTTTATGCAACACAGGTCCTCCCACCACAATCTGAAGTTCATATTGACTTGTTCAAATTTGTGCCATTCTAACCCCGCAATTTTCCACACATTCACTGCTCTTCCACATTTAAACAATAAGTGTTCCAAAGTTTCCTCCTCCTCTCCACACCAACTGCATCTTCCAACTATCTCCATTCCTTTACTCCTTAAATTGGACAATGTGCCTACACAGTTATGAAAACATTTCCAGAGAAAATGTTTTACCTTAGGTTTTATAGGCAATTTCCAAGTTGTACTCCATACTTTCCTCTGAAATTTGTTCCCCAGGCTGCTTTCTTCTTGTCCATTTCTCTCCTTCCTCTTTTTTTGTATGATTGCATAAGCACTTTTTACTGAGAAAATTCCTTTTTTATCAAAGTGCCAAATCAGCTTGTCCTTTGTCTGCACTGGGTTGAGTTTTATGCTCAGTATTCTCCTTGCATCTGCTGGGGTGAAAGATTGGTGCACTAACTCTGCATCCCACTCCTGCTTTCCAGTGATCATCAAATCAGCCACCTTCTTCAGCCTTTTAATATCTGTAGGAAATGGACAATCAGGTTTAAAGTGAACAACATTTGGAAGCCAAGGAGACTCCCATATATTTATAGACTGCCCATCCCCTACTGAAAATCTAGCTCCCAGCTCTAATGACTTTCTACACTCCAATTAAGCCATAGAAATTGAGAGGTCAATTCGCCAAGCTTAGAGGTAGTCAATTAAGCCATAGAAGTTGAGAGGTCAATTCGCCAAGCTTAGAGGTAGTCAATTGAGCCCATTAGGTAGATTCCAATTACCAATAGCCAATTGAGCCCATTTCGATCGCTCAACTCCTAGTCAATCTCAAAGGGGAAAATTACACACATGAACCCCTTTGTGTATATATTTACACATATACAATCCGTGCAAAAATTAAGTAAAAGAAGATTAGGTTGTGATTGATATTTCACATATACAAGATTACGATTGGTATCACCTTATCCTTTTCTCTCTATCCATTAAAAGCTCATGACTTCACGAGGCCGAAATCAACTCATATAGAACGGAATTCCCAAACAAAAAAAAAACGAAAGAAACATGTCGATTATGATCCCTATAATACAGGTAATCACGAATTCAGGTTTCGAAATGGGATTTACATCTAAACAAGTTCTTGCAGTCCGAAAAAAAAATAAAAATAAAAAAAATACACATACCGACCAGCTAAAAAAAAAGTTTGATCGTCTTGTTTGTGAAATTGATCGTGAAATAGCCGATGAGCCAATACGTATATTCATGTTTTTTTTTCGTGGTCAATTACGAAATTATAGTATGTTTATTTTTTATTTTTTTTAATTTGAGCTTTCATTGTGTTGCATTGATTCATAATCTGGTTATAGTTCATGAATAATGAGGTATATTCCTGTGTAATCTATGTTTATGGTGATCAGGTACGAGGTTGTTGGGTGTTTTTAATTTTTTAGCAACATTAAGACGTCTGGAAACGACACGAGAAGATTCAGAAGACGATGATTTTTACAGAGGATTCGCCGAACTAGGGATGGCAATGGGGACCCGATCCCCGATTACCCGTGGGGAATTCCTCTATTAGGGGATGGGGATGGGATGAAATCTCCCCCCATGGGGGTGCTAATGGGGAGAAAATCATCCCCGACGGGTAAATGGGTATGGGGATGGGGAACCAATCCCCGTCCCCGTTTACCCGCGGGGACCCGTTAAACTAGTATACATGCTAGTTATTCCAATATATTTATACATACACATGAATGATGATGTAATTACATAAGAATATATTAAATATGTAAACATAATATCATATTATGTATGTAATGTGATAAATTGAAATCATATAATGTGATGTTATGCCACCTACATAGTATAAATAAAATACATATCAATAACAATTAGCGGGTATGGGGATCCCCGATGGGGATTTATCCCCGCGGGTAATGGGGATGGAGAGAAAATCCTCCCCGAAAGCATAAATGGGGATCCCCATGGGGAGAAAATTCTCTCGCGGGGATGGGTATGGGGAGTCAATACCCGATGGGGAATTCCCCATTGCCATCACTACGCCGAACATTCTGTAGATACTATGTTGAAAATAACAAAATATACGGAAGATAAACTGGAAATAAACAACTCCAGAACAGTTGGAGTTGTGGTCGATAGATGCATGAATACTAATATTGTGGTCGGTGAAACTTTAAGAGATAACAGTGTTCACGTGTCTTAATGCTTCAATTAAAGTGTGGAATCATTGTAGAACATTATTGTTGTCAACAGTACTTTCTTTAGTTCTCCGTATGGAGGTATAACAAGGCCGGGATTTCAGAGGGAGTGTGCTTTTTGGCGGTGGTGAGATGGACTCTGTTTACGGCCACATAACTGTCACGGTGGGGATTTCAGTTTGGATTATCTGAGTTTTGACACTGAATTGATGTTTGGTCTGAGAAAGCAAATCTTTGTCAAATAAAATCAATATATTCGTCAATGGCTTGTGAGATAATATTTTGTTTATCTACCGTTTATGTTCAGTATAACTTATTATGCTTATGCGTGATCTAATTTTTTTTTTTTATTTAACGTTTATGTTAAATAAATAAAAATGATGGGGATAAGTGAACAAGTAATATACTTCACTTTACAAAAGTATATACCATGTTTCAAGATATACATAATATATACGCAATATATACTGTTGTTTATATATTAGCAAACAAATCCTTTGAGTGAGTAGTTTTGAGTCACTTTTGCACCAGATGAAAAATTGCAGCAGATAAAAATGGTGAAAATTAGATTTTTTTTCAGATGCAAATTTCAAAATATTTGTAGAGATATTATTAAATTGAGATTTGGGAGAGAGATTAAATTTTTAGGATAAAATTTTGCATGACTTTTGGTTGTAGAGCATCCACAATGCTTTGGGTCTCTTAGAAAAAAATCACATGTCATGTAGGAAATAGACCTAGTCCATACAAAAATATTTCACAATGCAATTAAAAGTGGACCTAGTCTAACTTATGTGGCACTAGAAAAAAGAGACTAAGTTCATACTTGGGTCTATTTTGGATCCAAGTGCAAACCCACCTAGTCATTAATTGTTCATAATTTTCTTTTTCTTTTTAATAGGCAAAATATATTTTTTTTTTGTATGAATTTATTATTACTATATTTTTATTGGTTGTTTAGTATTCTAGACATAGTACTTTTTTGTTTTGCATTGGATAGATTTTGGATTTTTTAGCTTGGGTTTGTCCATGTCATTATGGACTTAAGTCTATTTATTTATCACATATGCAAAAAGAGACAAAGCACTGTGAGTGCTCTTATGGAAACGATCACACTATTCGGATATATGTCCACTAATTAAGTATTCAGTTTTTGGTAACTGCACTTTATTGTTTAAAATTAACTTCATTTAGCCTTAATTTTAATAACTGGTAATATTAATAAAAATAAAGTTTATCACTCCTATTTGTAAAAAAAAGTGCAACTTTGACGGTAAGGAGTGTAATTTTCTCATCTCAAAGGTAGCCAATTAAGCCATCAGAAGTTGAGAGGTCAATTCGCCAAGCTTAAAGATAGCAATTTGAGCCCATTAGGTAGATTCCAATTGCCAATAGCCAATTGAGCCCATTTCGATCGCTCAACTCATAGTCAATCTAACCCGAGAGGTCAACTAGGACGGCTATTTAGGGGTTATTGTTTACCATTTGTACA